GGGGAATTCTGGGACTTGAAGTCCACACATCTGAAAGCTGATAAGGTTGAGAAACCCTGCCTTAGACCCAGGTTATCAAAATATAGCTACTGATTTTCTATGATGTGCAATGACTAAACAAATAACTTGCATTGTGGCTTAATCCAAGGGCCTGAATCCCATTGCATGTTAAGGCTATAGTTTGGTTTCCTTCCCACATTATACTAAACCACAAGCTATTCAACCTGATTTTAGCCTATCGTGTTCAGCAGGCCCACCCGTGCTCTCCCTCCCTCCCTCCCTTATCAACAGATACTTAGAAAACCCCAAATGCTAAATGCAAAGACCATTTAATAGCTCGTAGACTTTGACTTCCAGTCTTAGCAAAGTCCCTTTTTATCAGCTGTAACCTTTTCTCCGTGTGTCTTTTTTTCACAGCCTTAGTTCAAGTAGCGGCTTAATGCCTGATGGCACCAGCAGATTCACATGCAAAGGAAAGAGCCTCCACCACTTCATTGGCACCAGCACCTTCACTGAATACACTGTGGTGCATGAAAATGCAGTGGTCAAAATTGATCCTGCAGCCCCCGTGGAAAAAATATGTCTGATTGGCTGTGGGTTTTCGACCGGTTACGGGGCAGCTATGCAGACAGCTAAGGTAAGCCCGAGGCCACTGATTTCAAGAATGTACATTTATTTAAATGCAGGTACAATTATGTGTGTTTCAGTTGACAACCTACGTAACTGCTTGCCGCTCATTTTTTAGATTTGATCCAAGGTGCATTTGTCCTGTTCACTGCCCAGCATTCTTTGCCCCGTGTTAAATTCCTGGGATGAAAAATGATATAAAATTGCCAAGAATCATTGGCATTTCCTATAATGCTTCCATGTAGTCGAATGTCAACAGCATCTAGCCTTATTAGCTATTATGAAGACACTCCAGAGCACACGTTGTGCTTCACTTTGAAATTCTCTGTCCCAACCATGAAGATGAAAAATGATGTGGAGCATTTTTTACACCACCACTGTTTCCAGTGTCACTGAGCCAGTCTGTCAATAAATGCTTCCATTGTAGCCAGGGATTGCTGACAAACATGTCCTCCTGCTAACCAGTAAGAGAACACAAAAGCCAGCCTCCTATCAGCAACCCTCTAATTCCCCAGCCCTACCTTTCCTTTGCCATGTTTGCCTGCAGGGAGAAAGGAATACCAAGAAACCATAAAGCTAGGATTGAGAGGAGTCCTTTCCAATGGAAAACCATTTTGCCTATAAAGAACTTCAGTATCTCAGATATGTAACACAGAAGCTTGGACCACCAGGGGTTTGGACCCAGTTAGCAGAGCAGTGTTTCTCAACCTTGGCAACTTTAAGATGTGTGGACTTCGACCCCCCCGATTTCCCCCCCCCCCCCCGTCGTGTTGGTAGTGCTTGTGCCGTGAAATACACCACCCCTAAACGTTCACACTGTGGAGACACACCAT